AAAGCTACGATCACAATCAAAATGGCGGACAGTAACCCACTCCGCGAATTTGTGTCAAATCTACCAAGATTAGACCCTGGTCGTCTTAGACCTAGGTGAGTGAATAGTAATATTTAATATTTCAGATATTTAGCCACTTAGCGGTTATTCGTTGTTGAGTGATCCATGAACGGTGTGTATGACCCTGGGGCTAGTGGCGGGAAATACGAATTTCCGCACAACCGATTCGACTCAGACTTTCGCCCCCTTCCCAACGCAATGATCTCCACTGCGCCACATGACCCCCAGGGTGCTCAACAAAGTTGTAGACTGGCTGCGGTTGTTTCAGAGGTTTGTTGGCACTCCCCTACAGATAATATCATTACTTCATTCCCTGAACAGTTTTAAATCACCAGCGGTCACATACAGCGAGTACCGAAGCTACGAAGTGGGATTACACTTTTTTCGCACAGTCGCCAACACTGTGTCAGAAACATAATGCTAAAAACAATATTTTATTAATTACCTTTAATTACAGTGTATGTGTGTGATCAGGGATAATTTATCAGATTTAATGAATACACAAAGATTTTAATAATCAAAAAGTAGTCTTTTTATTGACGATTTATTTTTCTACCAAAACATAATCATTTAGAGTGTTAGTAGGCAGCAGTGGGAAATTTAAAGCAGCCATAAATATTCTTGAAGGCTAAAATTGAATACAAATCTACTCTAAATTTAAAAACATGGATGCTTTTTTTGATAAATTAGTTCATCCGATATTAGTCTATATGACAGGGATGGCTGGGGGAAATGAAAGCTCATACCAATCAAATCTTAGTGTTTGCAGATTTATACTTGCGATACAAAAAATACACCCAAAATGGGTATACAGGGATTTTTTTTTAAACAAAGGAACAGGGGTGCTGTGCCCTCATGCCATGGCCATGCGCCCCCCTCACCCTAAGGAAGCCATATAATGCTCCATTTTAACTTAGAATTATCAAAAACTCCATACCCTGGTAAGGAAAACCCTATCTCCCCCACTTGGTGGCGCTGCTGAATTGCTGTGCTCTCTCTTGCAGTTTTTTTCTAGAAAAACCCCTGGCTATATATCATGGTTAACTAGGCAGATTCCCACTCAATGTTTTAATTAATTTGACATGAATGTGTCAAAACAGTATAGTGCACTAAAATCTCATTTGGGGCAAATAAACTTACCACTAATTATAAACATTTTCAAAATCTGATGTAACAATAATAATTAATGAATAAAAGAAATATTCAATTTGCAATGGAAAGAAGGAATTTTCAATGACAATAATAGGAATAATAAAATGTATAATAGAATGTAAAATAAACTAAGAACATACAGGGAAACTACCTCACATTATCAAAACAAATGTCTCACTAGATTTTGTCTCTAACCACCAATTGAAAAATGAAGACATGCTATTTTCCGCATGTGATTTTTGCAAAAGATTTTATTTTGTCAAACATGTTATTAAAATTGTGTGCATATATTTTTTTATTCAATATATATTCAATAATTTTTTATTTTGGGTCATGAGGGTCACATAAAGTTTTCTGATCTTGTGATATTTATAGAGTTTGATTATAATATTATAATATTCATACTGATTATTTCAATATCAACCTATAAATGTAAAAGCCAACAGTGTAAATCACCTGTTGACCATTTTTGACATCTGGACATTTATAAATTATTTGACGAAGTTTTCACTTTTGTTGAAGTGTTATTTTCATGCTTGGGGGAAGTAGTGGTTCAGGCCAATCAGAACAGACAAACACAATAAGTAAACAATATCCAATGTTTACCCACATTTGGACTAATCAGAACAATCCCACTATTAAAGAAAGACAAACAAACAAGTATGTCAACAAAGTCTGACTGATGTATAATATACTATAGTGTATTTATAAATGTTGTGGCATTAAAATACATGTAATATCACAAAAGCTATTGTAAGGTAATGCCACAGTGTAGCAACACAGTTTGAGTTGAAAATGTCTTTACCGTCTTCGCATGTTGTCAACATGTACTCGTACTCCATTCTATGATTGTGTCAGTTCTATTTTTCAGTAAACCCTTGTAAAACATGGCAACTACTATTGGGCGTAGATGGGGGAGGGGGTGTACACTTAAATATGGACACTTAAATTATTCACACTCAATCATCTTTGCCCTGTTATCTCACAAAATTAAGTAGCAAACAAAAAAATAGATCATCTTTATTCTTATGTTTTCCGAATTTTGTTTTTTTCAACAGTAAACGAACAACTACTAAGCGTCCATTTACTTTCTCACCAGACTGGGATGTCAGTCGAAACAGTCCTAATACTACATCTGATCCTGATAGTACTGATACAGAGGTAAATAATTATTTCACTGAAGAGCAGTGTGCCCTGTAAATAAAAATGAAATCCCAAAAATCAAAGTAGTATTTGTCAGGTAGAAAACAAAATGAAGATTGTATGTGGCTGTGTCTGTTGAAGGACAAACAAAAATGTTGTATCCCCTGATTACCTTCATTTTCATACTTTTTTTGTTTATAAAACATGAATATTCATTAACAATATTTCAAATTGTAAAAGATATTTGTCACATCAACTTTTTCAGTGTATGATTTTCTATTAAACATTCAGTACTACTAAATACCTTGTATTTTTCATGAATTGTAATCTGAAAAGACCATAAATCAACTTTCTTTTCAGACCATTAAAATAGTTTCTATACGTTTCCACTATTTCTCTGAGAAAGGTGTTAAAATTAATAACTTGAATTTGTTTCAAATATTTTTTGTGTTTGTATTTTGCTTGAATCCTGTGGTCTGATAGCATATACTGTGTTTATTGTATCAGAAGTGCATCAACATAAATTCACTTAATAAATTCACGGATCATATGACTTATTTTAAGGTCGTTACCATATAAACAAAGAAAAAAGTTGATCTCAGTAAATCATTCAAAAACTGATGTATAATGATTCAAATACATAACTCATTCATGTTTTTACACGAAATCCAAAAAAATCCAAAAAGCAAGCCATTTTATAACATTTTTCATAGGAATCCATGCAAACATATTATTCGATGGATAACTTGTAATCAAAATTCTCCAATTTGTTCGTTAGCATACTTCGCTGAAAACTATTTCAAAACATGATGGAATGTTTCTGCC